GCTTTGATTGGTCAGAATACAATTTCAAAAGCCGCTAGAGTTAAATTGAGTGCTTTCTTTTTCTTTTTTTCTCTGTGGATTTAATAACCAACCGCGGCTGATTAAACTTTGATCATACGTTCTCAAACTTACTTAGAATTCAGGAGTGACTATGAAACCTGCATGATTTGGAACTATGATGTTGCTATTGTGCTTAGTTCAAAAAACAGACGTCTGCGGCTATTAAAGAGCATTTCATTTCATATCATTGCATGATATTTCACCAAAAACTCGCTTTTTCATTTAATGTTTTGTTTGTTCATCTTAAACACTAGATATTTCTGCCTTCAATAGACGAGCATGGTAACGGTGGTTTTGACAAATTAGAGACCTTAGGCAGGACGTGGCATGGGCGGAACAATAGCACGTGCGTTTTAAAACTTTGTACATTTCTTAGCCGTTCTCTACAAAATAACAACGTAAAATCACCAAACTTTGCCTGGTCCGAGAACGGAAAACCCTAAGCAAATTATTTAAGTTTCAATGCATTCAAAACTCAAAGCTACTCCCATAAGTTTTGCTGAAGTTGAAGTGTGGTGCTGTAAGAGACGATAAACACATCCCACCATTCACTAAATTCTGACGAAAAACATAAAATCCCTTTTTAAATCGACTTCTTCCTCGGCGTTAACGTCGTAACTGCTTTAAGCTCTCTAATTATCAGCTTTATTTACGATATTTTCATATATAATAAAGATATTTAAGGAGGGAACCCACCTCGCCAAGGCCATCCTTGGTGGAGCCTTCAGCGGACCCCTTTGGAACCCCAAAGTTCAAATTGACAGTCCTGAAATTTCAGGCTGATGTTTCATCTATGCAAATTTCAGGTTTTACTGAAGAGTCTCAATGGGGTAAACTGATGGCCGTAAAACGGCCAAAAATTTAGCAGTCAGGCGTAAAAATCGACAAGTTTAAACCAATAGTCGCGGAAAAAATCAGCCAAAAAAATATTTGTGGTGAAAACAATGGAATGTGTTTAACCGTTAGCCGTAAAGTGGCCAAATTGATACTGTTACCTGTAAAAGTCATCACCCCAATGAGACCCTATCTATGAATCATTTTAATAAACAAGTTAAGTTATTTAATTACTACTAACAACTAATTTCCATATCTTTACTAAACTATCTTGTCACGTTATGCTTGTCAGGGATTATTACTTGAAGAAAATTCACAAAGTAATTCATAAACCAGACCCCAAGAAAGGTGATCGCTTTTTGTTAAACCTTGAGCTTGGTTCAATGCACAACAACAAATCATATCGGCTATCGGAACACGTGTATCGTACACAGGAGAGTGAAAAATTGTGTCTTCCTGAGGGAATGAAGTGGAATAACAGCGCCATGGTCTACTTCATTCTACCTGTCAAGGATCAAGGCAAATGGGTGCACCATTTCATCAATGAACTCACTGCTGCCAGTTTATTGACAAGAGATACAAACTTTCACGTTATAATCATCGATTTTGAAAGTAAAGACATCGATATGGTCAAAGCTTTTAACACACCTCTTCTGCATAGTAGACATACTATTATTTCACTGACTGGTAAATTCTACAAGACACTTGCTCTAAACAAGGCAGTCGCACAAGTTCCAAATGCTAATGATATAATTTTTCTTTATGATCTACACATTGATGTGCCCCCAGACATCATGGACAGCGTCAGAATGGTAAGTCATTCGTTTGCAATTGGCAGTTATAGCAGTTAAGGAGCTAAAAAGGGGTCTGTGATGCTGGTCTATGTGCAATGCAAGTGCAAGTGCGAGGGAATGTGTGCATTTTCATATAATCTTTTTTCTTAGGTCTGGTACAAAAAGCTGTTAATGAAACTTGGGTCAGAAAAAAAAGCCTGAGAAAGTAAATATTACAATCTGAAAAAAGATGACCACTTTCGAGGCAAAATATGTAGAAGAAGAGATTGTCTCACTGAGAGGATAAAACCGAGCTCAGCAACAGTGATATAAACTTGAGAAGCAAGAGAAACATTACGGTTTTGCTTCCCTTGAAAGTCTGGCAGCCTTATTTTTGGTAATTGTTATATTTTACATTTATTATCTCTTCTATTTTCCTTAGAACACCATAGCCGGAAAACTAGCTTATTTTCCTATTGTTGGCCGTCTTGATTGCCAAAGTTCTTCTGTAGACCATAAAGGATTTTGGCAACTAGATGGGTATGGACTTCTTGCTATTTATAAATCAGACTGGGAAAAGTTTGGAGGTGGGTAGTAACTTTAGTTTTTATTGTTATAAACGCGAAAAGACCGTTCTCCTAATGGTACACGACCAAAAAATCAAAAATTGATCATATTAAAAAATAAGATTTAAAAATAAAATCAAAAAATCTATACATCAAAAACTAAAAATTTCAGGCCATCGTACCTAATATTCCTGGGAACATGACTTCCTTGTCGTGTTCATGATTGAAGACTTTTAAAAATATGATTTGGAATGTACTAGTCATGTGTAGTCCGAAATCACACAACGGAGAATTATACTATTTTATCCTCAGGTATGAATGCCGAAGAGTACAAATTCAAATGGGGCGGGGAAGACTGGGACCTACTTGATCGTGTATTAATGTTGCCCATAGAAGTGGAAAGGTTGAGACAGCCAGGTCTCTATCATCATTATCACACCAAGACCAAGATGTGGAGTTAGACAGCGCCTTGTGGCCAAAAAAATCAGGAACCTTGATCAAGCTGTGACAAAGGTGAAGGGTTTGGAACCAAAGATTCAATGAACAAAAACATTCGCTTCCCAAACGTTTTAGAACGCCGTCCATTTCCTTGCATTTCCTACGCAAAACATCGATGTTAAATCACCAAAGGAATACCGATAGAAAATCATTCACATTTTTGTTTGTAACTCAACTTTGGATTTATCTGTTGATGCGGTCTGGCGGCCTCAGAGATGGAAAACAAATCAAGTCATACGCAAAATTCGATTTTTGCTAGAAAATGGAAATCTCGTAGTCATTTAAGGGGATCTTATGGCTTAGTATATTGCTCTATTTTTTGTTCTAGATCTGAAAATACCTAAAGCGATGTAAAGTATATTACAATTTTAAGCATTGGTAGGATACGGTTCGGTTGTTCAAATTGGTAGGACTCGACTTTGAAGGAATAAAACAGAATAATGCAAGAGACATGTCGTATTTCTCTAATAAAAATAATAAGAAAGAACTTGATGTGAATCAATCGAACTTTAACTATTATTTTTAAATCATTTTGACGCACAAACATGAGCCACATATACAAAAGTCGGACCAATGTCAGTATGTGAGCAACTGCGCACCTACCCCTCCCCTGACCCAATGACAGTCCACTAATAAAATGTTAAGGTCAATGTCAGGTTAAGGGAGGGGTAGGTGTGCTGTTGCTGAGTTGTTTTGGGGATAGAACCATGTCCCCCTCTAATCAGATGCGTTACTATCAACTCAAAGGAGACGTGTTGTTAGTTGAGCACTTCTTACGTGTTCATAGGCATGTAAAAGGCTCGCACTGGGAACTTAGAGGCTCTTGCGGGGAACTAAGAAAGAGAAAAAGAGAGGGAGAGAAGGAAAACAATCAATAAGCACTCGCAATAGCAAAAGTATCGGTTGCATCCCATAACACCCTTAATCATTAGTGCAGGGTTCCATCAGAAAAAAATTTTTCTTAGGCTCATTGAACTGCTTGAGATGATAACGTAACTTGGCCACTGTTAAGAGCTTGAAGGCTGACTTTTCGGGCGCTAGTCCTTCCTCAGAGCGAATGAATACCGTGGTCACGGTATCAACGAGCGCTTTTCATTCAACCAATTTATTATTGTTTTCTCGTGACCATATTCCCACCAATAGCGCAGCTCCATTTTCTGCATATAAACACACACACACACAACCTACAATTCCTTCAATCGCTCTAAAGAAGGGCTAACGCTTGAAACGTCAGTTTTCAAACTCTTAACTGTGGACAATTTACGTTATCAACTTAGTTGATAATACCAAATTACACTGTTATACTATTCCGCAGACGCAGCACTAAAGTTTCTTTGGAAACCACTCCCATAACGATTTATGTGATTTCAATAATAACCTCGTCTATGTAAATAATTGTAGAACTGAGTGCTCAGCTAATTATCTAAGTAAACAAGGCTACAAGTGTCTAAACGCGACCTAAAAATAATGTTTCTCTTAGAGTTCCTTACTTCGAAAAATTTTTCGGGGATGATTTTTCTTCCGAACGATAATTGCTTGATAATTAAGGTCTTATCAACTGAGTTGATGATGTCAATTTGCCACCGTAAAGAGTTTCAAAGCTCTGTCAAGGGGCTAACGCTCGAAACCTCAGCTTTCAAACTCTTTTTGGTGCCCAATTTATACTATCAACTTACGTGATAAAATCAAAATCATCTTGTTATACTTCCTCACCGACGCAGCACGACACTTTCTTTAGAATTTGCAATAATTCCTTGAGTTTTGCAGATCGCAGAATAGCGGTTGAATGCCCACATAAGAAGGATCTGGACTGTTGTCGCTTCAGGCTAAGTGCGGCGGAACGGATCACAGAGATAATGTGGTGAAGTTAATGTCCAAAAATCATAATGTTAAAGAGCCCACCTCCGGACCAGTGAAAAAAAAAAAGTCATCGCCTTTTAAAAGTTGTTTCCTTACGCTCACTGACAAAATTCCACACAATTTCAAAGCGAAGTGATGAGCCTTCATTATCAAATGCACAGCCGTTTAGGCGCCACCGTGATTCTTTGTTCAGGGATCGTTGCTGACCCATAGAGGTCCTTTCTTCTGTAACTTACGTCCGCCCAAAATGAAACCCGCCATGTCTTATCTCCAGTAATCAGGCAATCGTAACAATGGCATCAACTCTCTTACCAATGAGAGAGCCTAGCTTTATCGCAATGAATGAACCACTTGTTTTCAGCCTGTTATAAGATGCATCTCACAGCAAATTTTCTATGCATTTCAACTACCCCTCGCAGAAGGCACAAACCTGCTGAAGTTGAAGTGTTTTAATCTAATCCAAGATTTGTCGCTGATTGCTCTCCACTAGATAAGGTAAGATACGATGTTAGGCTCATAAGCTCTTTAACCAACGTGACCTTGCCGGTTGAATTTTTATTTCAAGCAGCGAGGATGTAATTTGTAGATTGGCCTCTGTATCCAAAGCTGACCTTTCAAGCGTAAGCCCTTTCTCAGGGTTAGCCCTTCGTCAGAGCGAGAGATTTACGTTATCAACCCAGTTGATAATACCAAATTACCTTGTTATACTCTTTCAACGACGCAGTACTACAGTTTCTTTAGAAACTTACCGCCTTTAGCGATGAGGAGTAGTTCTCTTCACTTGACTCTCTGCAGACTCGACCATGTGAGAAGGAATAATAACTATGTGGTTTTTTTTTCCAAGTTTATCGAACGATGTGAAAATTTTCTGGCATCAAATGGATCGATTCGTTCTAACTCTCTTTTCTCAAAACAACCGGTTCAAAAAAGCAGCTATCATAAAGCTTTAATTTCTAAAACGAGGAAGAGCAGACGTTTCCCGCCGTTTTTCACCCGCTTGAAGTTCTATGATTTATGCAGATAGCTATTAATATGAATAGGAGCAAGTCGGGCATCAGAGAGTCTCGAGATGTAAAAAAAATAATAACAAAAATCGAATTTCCTTATACTTTTCATGAGTTTCGCAAGAAAAATTAACGGGTTTTGAAGACTTAGTTGTTTATCCAAGATTTTGACAATCAGCAAACGTTTCCCGCCGTTTTTCACCCGCTTGAAGTTCTATGATTTATGCAGATAGCTATTTATATGAATAGAAGCAAGTCGGGCATCAGAGAGTCTCGAGATGTAAAAAAAAAAATAACAAAAATCGAAATTCCTTTTCGTGAGTTTTATAAGAAAAATTGACGAGTTTTGAAAACTTAATTCTTTATCCAAGATCTTGACAATCAACAATTTGAAAACAACTGTATATTTATGGTTAACATATGCACGCGGGAGAGTATCAATTGCATTTTTACAGGTATGATAAATTTTGGTGCCAAACATTTGTAAATTACAATTTCCCATAAATTATAGATTTGTTGGTAAAATGCGATTCTTGGAATTTTACTCAAACTCTTGTTTCAATAACCAACAAGAACTCAATCCACAGCCTAAAACTACCAAATTCATTATTATTTAAGTCGTAAATCTGCATATGAAATTATCTTCGCGCGCATACGCTTTAGGCCCGACTCAGACTTCTAGCAATGGCTTCTTGATTGTAATGGGCTGCTTCGCACGATTGATTACATCTTACTTTTCATTTCAAGGGGCTAAAATACTCGTTAACTCGCCAAGTTCTCCATTTTAGCCGCAAAATACACCACGATGCCCGACAAAGTGATAAAAAATTAAGAACTTAGTCTTGAACACCCTGTCTCCAAACCTAACTTTAGATTAACTAAACTGATTCATAACTTAATGAAGTCTTTGATAACAAAGACCTGTGCTGTTTGATGGTAGCTTAAAAAAAAAAAGAAAAGTCTTCTTATCATTTAATAAATACACCACTATTACTTGTTACTGCAGTATACCGTTATTCCTTAACTCTTTCGTCTTTCAATGAACACAGGATTGAAGATGTCTGTAAAAATAATTGTGTTATTTGCCGTCATCTACGTGGTCAACTGTCGCGTGCCATGTAAGTATGATTTCGATATTCTAAAAGAGCGAGACGAGGTATGAAATTAGTAAATTGGTGGTGACTTATAAAGTGGAATATTCCGCGACTCTTCGCTCAAAGGAGCACCTTCCGTATACGGCTAAAGGGATAACATAATTGAAAGGTAGAGATTTCACAACCTGAGATACAGAAAAAATAATTAGAATACCGTTTTTTAAGTACCTAATTGAGTCAAAGGTTTATTCATGATCAGTTAACTGGGGGGGAGGGGGGGGAATAGAGTTTAGAGGGCTCAGTGTTTATCATCTAAAAGTTGATTTTGTCTTTTCTTTGGTTTTGCAAGACGCTTTAGAAATGTGGTGTGGTACTACTCGTAATTAAAAAGGATGTCCTTTTTTGTGGAAAATATGTCAAAGGTTAACCTTTCAACTAAGATGACTCCTTTACGAGTAAGGGTTTGTAACTCAAGGCGAAATACCCCCGCACGAATTTTTTAGGAGAGTTTTAACCTGGAAATGGGTGGGGTGGTGTTCTAGCTAGGCTGGACATGGTTACATAAATCCTCTTTTCTGTTAAGAAATAGTAAGATTTCTTTTGTACATTCATAGCAAATCCGCTGAAACGCATGTTTGCTGGCGTGGATAAGCGAGCACCATCATGTGCCTATGATTGCGTTCCCATCTGTTATGATGACGGTTATGGAAGCTACAACCGTCGATCCGGTTCCTGCAGCAAATCTGGTTACAGCTGCTGTGAATGGGTTGTACATGGCAAAAGGGAGATTAAGGAGGAAAAGCGAGCACCATCATGTGCCTATGATTGCGTTCCCATCTGTTATGATGACGGTTATGGAAGCTACAACCGTCGATCCGGTTCCTGCAGCAAATCTGGTTACAGCTGCTGTGAATGGGTTGTGCATGGCAAAAGAGATGCTACTTTGGAGTAACTGGATGTGTTTCTCCGCTGGTAGAGGTTAGCATTTCATTCATCTCTCATTTCACATCAATCGAAAACATACGCATCATGCGTCAGTTTTCTCTGTTTGCTCGTCTTTTGACTGAGTTGGAAAAAACGTGTGGTGAAGTTTCAAGACAAATTTTAATCTTTCCAGAACTTTTAGCGGAATGAAAGACTTGGCAGAATCACGCAAAGTAAACGCGATCAGCGCGTTTGAACGCGTTCGCACCTTCCTCTCGTTTGTTTTTACCGAAGCTGACAGGCTAATTATGACTCACACTTCCGAAATACTGACCCTCCACCACAATTGCCTTAGAGTATACGTAACACAGTAAATGGTTTGAACACGGGGGTAACATGTAATAGTGTAGTTTGATCGTCCGGGTGAGTGTAGTCCTGAGAAGGACTGTTGTCGGTAATGGCGACAACAGTTACCCCCTGTCGGGAACTACCTGGAAACTTTCTCCTGAAAGTACCTATACATTACCGAAAGTGAAGTGAAAGAAGTTGAAAAAGTTCATCAGCTGCAAAGAATCTTGAAATTAATAACTTGAATTTTGATGATACGGTTTTCTCCCGTTTTGTTCTCAGGCTTGCCATATAATGACGGCTGATCCTGCACAGCAGCACCAACCTGACGGAGATTTTGTAGCTTGCAGCTTAATGTCTTTCATAGAAACGTCTGTATCTAAACTTTAGAGCAAGTGTTCAATAAAATAGGGCAAATGGATCGCTGTGTCTGTAAATTCTTGCGAGTTACTGGTTTCTTCAGTTGTATATTGTTGTTAAAGCTTTTATTACCTGACAACCAAAAGATAGAGTTTTATTCTAAGTATCAAAGATCAAAGTTCGATGAAAACTATCCGTGAGGACTTCGAAAGTGATCCTTGTGTTGGAGATGGAAAGAAAAATCACAGAAATTTAAGCACATGTGCTCAGCTATTGTTCTCTTTTCTGATCAAAAGAAATGGTGGACTAGTTCATTGTTCATAATCATGATATTCTAATTTCTGAGCTGCATGGCTCTCAAACATTCAAAAGTACAACACCCACTTCTCCCCACCCCGACATAAAATGTCAATTTCTTAAGACATGCTAACACCAACAAAGATGAAAAAAATTAAATATTGAAGTCAATCTATGAAAAATACCTGAAGCGAAAAAACCTCAATTTATCAAGACGAAGTTTGTTCTAATTTTGCAAACGGTTAGGTCGGTAAAGTTCCTTGACCTATTACAAGGAAACGAAACGAATGAAAATTACTCCATTATGCTCCGAACATCATCGCATGGCACTGTGGGATTAAGGAAATGTTTATGATAACACGATATAGCGAACGACGAGCGCAAACGACTACACAGAGGGGAGGGGAGAGGAGAGAGGGCAAACTGTCAAAATCAACCACAGATTTCCGTTCATGAGCATACCTCTAACAATACCAGCAGCGTCGCACTTTATTTTTCTACCGCGATGTTGCTCTTGAGGACCAACTCATGCAAATTTTATCGGTTGCATAATTACTCGATGTGAATGATTTATGTTACTAGAATGATGGATAACATTTGCTTAATTTGACACTTAAATGACATTTATTTTTATTCACATTCTTTTCTTGCCATGGAAAATGACTGACTAAGACGCTACCAGGGTACCCACTGATGCATTTTTCTCAAACTGTTGGGTATGCTGTGAGGATGTTCCTTTTATTATAGAACTTAATAGTTTTAAAACTTAGCTGTTTCCCGTTAAGTTTACACGAGCAGTTAGTTCCCTCGAAGAAGCAAGCTGTATACAAAGCCATCTCAAAATCAGGACTGGTGCCCACGAAAAAGCTGCTGCCTGGAGGCTTCCTTTTCCCCCTCCATTGGAACCTCGCTCTTACTAAGGCCGGCTGAAAACAAAAGTAGGAAACGAAAATCTGATTGGTTAGCTTCAATGTTCGAATTTAAACTGGGAAGACTGGGTCGAGTGCATTAAGTCAAGGCTTACTGATAAATTAAAACAAGCGAGTGAAATTCAACAAATAAAGAAAGTTTTGTTTCAAATATAACTAAAGTAAGGAACTTACCTCAACAGAAACATCTTTGGAAATAAGAGGAGGGTGATATGTCAATCTTCCTAATGTCCGCTCCGTAAGAAACTGGAACCAGTTGTGGAAGCCTTTGGTGATCTTAGTATTACTGCCTCTACTATACCCCAGTTCTCCTATTTAAAGAAGAACACGGAAAAGTGAATAACCATAAATGTATTTTTGGTAATATTTTGAGGATTTGTATGGATATCTACAAGGTGGTGATACTCCTAAAGAATAGAGTTGAGACCCACAGACTTTACTTTAAAATCTTATTATCTACATATGATGAACAACAATGGATAAAGCTTGGAAAAAATGCCATCAGAGCAAGTTCTACTGCGTCTGAAGTCAAAGGAATGCCCTTAAGAGATAATAATGAGTTTGGTTCCGCAAATTATCTTTACAGCGCATCTTTAAATCTTGTTACTGTCAAGAACACCACACTAGAAGGCTAAGATTGATACATACCAACAAACGTGTGTTCAAAACCAGAAGATTTTAGGCCCCGTCCTCTCTTAGAGTATTTTTCGAACCACATTTCCTTCAGGACGGGCTTAAATTGATCAATACACTGAAAAAATGTAAAGATTAAAAAATGATTCTTGCATTGTGAGCAAACATGTTATGATGAAAACAGAACTAGCACGACGCGTGCAACTTACGCGCGGCGGACATTTCCAAATTTGAAAGACATGATGTTTGCACGATAACTTCGTGCGCAAAGTAACAGTGCTTACAGATGGAAAGTCGCCTTTCGAGGATTTTGCGTAAAGTTTAGTTCTACGGTGTTACCGTATTAGTAGTGGTTTTTGGCCAAATTTATTTCACGACGATTTCTTTTGTAACCACTTACGAACATCAACCAGCGTTATGTGCCATGTAAAATGTAAAATTTCCTCTCCCGTAATAGTTTTCATCACCGACTCCTACTGCTCGTAATTTTAAAACCTAGATAAATCTGAATAAAAGAGACAGCCAGTTTCTCCCAAACCTTCATAGAAACTTTTCCTTTTTTTCTTAGATAGTCGAAAACAATCTGTATTGGTCCTCTATTGGTCTTGATGATGGCGTCGATAAAAGCATCTTCCTCTTGTTGTTTGGTAACAGATGGCTTCTCGTGAAGATTTTCGTCTGCTTCGTAGTTGTCTAACAAAGCTTTGGAATACACAAATCAAACAAAACCATTTGACTTCCTTCAAAAAGATACTCACTTTGTCTGAAGGGTAAAGGGTGGTTCTCCGGCGCATAAAACACGCGCACCAACCCATTCCCCCTTCCCCCCCTCCCCCCGCAAAACAAAAAATAAATAAATAAGAGAGAGAGAGAGAGAAGATGACAAAAAGTAACTGTCGTAACTAGTTATACTGAATATTAGTGGTGTGCCCCCAACTACCGTTAGCTCGTCAAGAACCTTTCTAAAGTAACCCTTTCCTGCACCCAAGCTACAATTAACTTTCAAAATTCCGTCGGAAGGTACGCCTGTAAGAAATGTGAGATATCGTGAGAAAATGGTCAGACCTGCATCTTAGACATCATCTTTTCTCCCTTTTTCTTGGGGAGGGGTTCTCTTTCCGTTGTTTACACTTCTCTTAGACTGTTTTTGTGAGAAGGTCAGCGGAAATCATCTACCTACAGTCAGGGTATTGACCTACCCGTCCTGAATTGGAAAATAATCATTCGGAAATCAGATGTACAACACCTTTCTCCCTATTACACATGCTCTCAGTAAAAGCTAAAATTTAAGAATGAAGCGCTGAAAACTCACCTTGAAATTTAACAAAAACTTCCGTTTGTACTTTTGCCTTTCCTTGTTTTGTCAAAGTGATTAAAGGTTTTGCCTTTCTTCCAGAATACAGAACTATTTCTTGACCGATTTTCAGATTGCTTCCGGCTGAATTCCAGATGTTTTGACACAGATTGTCGAAATCAGTTCGGCTGGGGACGAATTAAATTTGGTTTTATATAGGAGTTTATAAAATGCTCTAAAAAATGTACTTATGACTAGCGAGTATTTATTAGCCTCGTTTCTGCTGCGTCATTCAGTGCCTATATGCATGATGACAAGAAGCTAAGACAACCGATTGTACGCGAACAGTGAAAACGCGAATAGAGAACACTGCAGTACAGGTGACCATCCGTGTACCTGACGTAGCAAACCTCTTAACAATCGATTGAAAACCAGCAAAGCTTTTTTTGAATTGAAAAGAATCAGATGTGACTGGAATTACCTGTTAAAACTCGAGGATCCTTGGGTGAGACTTATCACCAGAACACAATTCAGCAAAAGAAGACTTGAGCGGTGCATTTTCCCCGGGATAAAAACAAAATCCAATGTTGAGCAACTACTGCACAGCGTGAAGGAAAATGGCTGATAAATATCATGAAGAATAATGCAAATCTCTCAAGGTTTTCAGTCAGATATGACTTTATGTCACCAAAGTAAAGAAGGAATACGCAGATTTCCTTTGTTCCCTCCATCTGCTATTAACCTTGCTGAAGAGCGTGTTGCGCCATTCTGTCAAATCACGAGGTTATTTGCTTTGCGAGAGTAGCTTAAAATTGAAACACATTTACTCAGCAAGCTATCAGCGCTTCAGTTCATCAACAAAACACTAAATTGTATTGAAATAGCTGCAACATCTAACTTTGCTCTCGAACGAATTTGCCACAGCATCGCTCGTATTATGCATCGCACACTCAGCACATGTCAGTCTGACTCAGACATTTGTAAATATTACTGCTTCCACGCATTTATAATTTTTTTAAGGTGATTTTCTGAAAGTGCTTTCTGTACTTAGTAAGATCTTTGGCACTCATTTATGTTACCTTAATAGCTGCACACTCTTACACAGGCGCAGACAGCTTGTTAGAAGTAATTTCTCTAACACTCGTTGTTGGTTTGGTTGATTCTTCTTTAATTTCTTTTCTTCTCAAGTTGTCACAACGGGGACTAACTCCTATCTGACAGGGAAAACTAAAGTCTGCGCTTATGAAGGTGACACTGCGGATGACATTTCTAAGCCGTCAATCTTCTTGTGTCGTCATCGTACCATCTCAACAAGCGAATCACGCTTGACTACGTATTACAGTTCCCACATACTGAGTATGCACCTTCGAGTTGTTTACGCAATTACAAAATCAATTTCGACCTTAATTTTCATACCTTTACGGTTGAGATCGGCCAGAACAGAAACGAGATCGATAATATAAAAATCACAAATAACCTTGGTTCCGAGTATTATTTATGCCTGAAAGGGTATCTTAAGAGAAAATCACCTTTAAAGATTGTTACATAACAACATCTTGGTCACAAGAGTTAAAGAAGAAAGGCGTTCACAAGTACCGCCCCCCAAATTGCTTTTGGTTGCGAAACATGAGGGGTATCTCCTGTTTACACCTTAAATTCCCTCTGGGAACAAGAAGGTGTCAAACGCAATCTATTACCAGGGAGATTTACTCTCCCTGGACTAACAAATTAACTCAATTAAGAACATGGCTTATCACGAGTTCCACGTCAACCTCACGATCACAACGAGGAAAACGTGAATAAACTCACTAGGAGAACGTGGCCAAACTCAACCTTTAAGATAAGACCACCAAGAAGGAGTAAGAAGTAATCAACCTGCCTTTTTTTATAATTTGCATTAAATGACTTAAAATAATATAATTTTTTTCTATTCCTTTTTTTTTCGACACCAATACAAGGAAACCCTTACGATATTGTAGATTAACTATAATTGTAATTTTATCATTTGACACTGTATGAAAGGGACTTCCAATGCTTGGTTTTATTTATTACTTTAAGACTTGTGCGCCTGTTAGACTTTGGCTGTTTCAGTGTGCGAATTAAAAAATAAATTTGTCCTAAAACGACTTAAGGCTTTTGTTAACACTGTTTTTGCTATAAAAATTTCTTTCAAAGACCTTTGATTCAGCTACGATAGCTTCATTTTGTCAAGAAGCTTACGCCAAATTACGCTTCTAGAGCATGACCAGAGAATTGCATTTTGATGCTTCTTAGGTGGTTTCACTTAAGTAAAAAATATTGTATGTTGTATTTCATAGTTACTTTCAGTGTCACTACGAAACTTTGTATTCCAGAGCTACATTCTGGCTTGTTCTGTTAAATCACATGAGGGCGCAATGTCGGCAGCAATTGGTGTTTCCGCAGAAGGAACAACGAGCTTCCTCGTAAGGTGTTGCTTTTGTAGCAGAGCTTTCCTCGTCGAGTGTATCGCAAACATTGTGTGTCGGCATTGCTGAACTTTCTTCGATAACCTCTTTACTGAGCTGGAGCTTCAAAATAGAGACCGTACCAGACTGCGTGGCCAGCATCACTGAGTAACCACCATCAACTGGATGAAGGACAAAGTATTTCACTTGCGACTGAAAATCGAAAGAGTTGATCATTTTTCCACTGACAATGTTCCAAAGTTTTATGGTACCATCTCGAGAGCTTGTCACCATCATGTCTCGTGGAAGAATCTTGAGGTGCATCACAGCATGGATGTGTCCGATGAAGCTTCTCGCGCGGTCCCCCGTCTTTAAGTTCCATAATAAAAGCTGCTCTTTTCCTTCGTGGGAGCCAGCAACAGCAAATAGATTGTCTTCGGTGATTGCTATACATTTGATAGAGGCGTTATGACCTTCTAAAGTATGCAAGCAGTCTCCGTTTTGAATGCTCCAAACCTTGAGTTTGAAGTCCTCGGAGCCTGATACGATGTTCCTGTTGTCAGTCGTTGATGCCAGGCAGCCGACAGGTCCAGTATGTCCCTCAAAGGACCTCTCGCAATTCATTGTTTTCAAGTTCCACAAACGGACAGTTTTATCTTTGGATCCTGAGATGGCATAATCTTCTCCACTCAAAAGAGATACACATAGCACAGCGTCTGAATGGCCGGTAAGTTGCCCTGCATGGCCTTCACTAATTTGGGTGAGACCTACCGTGTTGTCACTCGATGCTGACACAACAAAGCTATCATCTTTGGATACTTTTATCGATACCACACTGCCCTGGTGAACTTTAAACGTTTTCTCGACCTGCAGAGTGCTGCAGTTCCAAATGGTGATCTCTCCATTGTGCATGCCAGTTACCACTCGGGTGGAGTTGTGCAATGCGAAGATGCATGCAATTGAACCAGAGACACTCTTGATACACCTGGTGCTAGAGATATCCCAAAGCTTTAAAGAGTCATTCTTTGAGCCAGAGAGCCCCCAATGCCCGTCTGTTGTAATGGCAACACATTCAGGCAGATTAGCACGATGAAGGATGCGATCACCAGCTGTGGAAATGTCACACGCATGCTCATTTCCCGCGGCATACCAAAGTTTGACGTTTTTGTCATTTGATCCGGAAATTATTGTTTTGCAATCCGTTGTTATGGAAACGCAGGATATCCAAGATGAGTGCCCAATCAGTGTCTGTTGGCATTCACCTGTGGCTGGATTCCAGACCTTGAGAGAGACAAAGAAAAACGTATCACACTTTACTAAGACATGATCTGTTTATGCATTGTACATGTGAGTTCTTAATGCACGAGACCGTTGGCTTGCTGAGTTGACAGGGGACAATTCTAAGAGCTGAATAAGGAAAACCAGCGAATACCCAAGAGCAGCGCGAGATAAGCCTAAACAAAATTAGATATCGTTCACGGCTTTTAATTTAGCTTTATTAAGTTATATTTAAGTTTGTTTGCAGCGACTCTGCTTCCAAGAGTAACATAGACAGCAGTGGCAACTGATACATAGGAATCCTGCAAATGCCTCTTGTTTTATGAAAAGAACGAAAAAATCTAGACACTGGACAACACAACACTTATCACAACTCTTATTCAAAGTCCAAAGGAGGAGCAGCTTAAACTCTCTCCATGATGCAGCTTGTGAGGTGGAAAACCTCCAATCTCTCAATGGATGGTGAAACAGTCCCACTCACTTTTAACGTGTCATCCTTAGAAGCAGATACAATAAAACTGTCATCCGAGGCAACTGCCACACGCCAGATAGCGTTTGAGTGACCTTTCAGAGTGACACAACATTGCAAAGTGACTAGGTCCCAGATCTTCAGTGACTCATCCTTTGATCCAGATACAATTCGCCGGCCATCCTTCATACAAGCAAGACATTTCACCAAGCCTGCGATTGGATAGTAAAGCTTTAGGCGTAGTACAATAAGTTCACTTTGGGAGGCCGCTACTCTTTAATTTATGCATACTGCTCGAGTGACATTAAGGCAAGAGTGCAGAAAATCAAATGTTCACAACGGGTTTTGATGTAGATGACCGAGAGCCTAGGTTTCTCTCTACCATCTTCATTGACGACACGATGAAAGTTGTCCAACTACCCTAAGGACAACATTGTTTCTGTCTTTAGCCTACTTTTTGCCTCATTGGCCACAGGAGTTTTGCCTACGAGATGATCATTTCCAATTGGGCTGCCCAAGTCGTACAAGTCAAAGAGGAGAGACGATGAGAAAACTTGATCTATCGATCCTCTAGGCTCAAAGTTGGACACAAGGCTAACAACCGGGTTCTGGAATAGGCCCTTGTTACTGAACTGGAGTTTCATTTGTACAACCCTTCATGCCACTAACTACTATGAGTTTTTCTTCAACTTACCTGAATGGCCTTTAAAGGTAGCACAACTCTTCGTCTTTAGATGCCAGGCTTTGACAGTTTTGTCTTCCGAGCCAGATATGACGCTTTCTCCATCACATGTTAACACCAGGCAGAGAACAGAGCTCATATGACCGTCATACACAGCCTGGCATTCTCCAGAGCTGAGCGACCACACCCTTAGCGTGCTATCATTGGAGCCAGTGATGATTTCATCATTCGGTGATATAGCGATAGCGTTGATTGGTCCTAAATAGAAAAAAAAACAAAAACAAAGCAAACAACTCGAATCATGTTCCTTATTCGAGGCCAGTTCACGTCTGATCTTCCATGAACCGTAGGGAAAGAAATATTGAAAAATAAAACGACACATTTTATACCGAGAAACTCATCAACATTAATGCATGGCTTATTAATCACTGGGCACAGGAATAACAGCGACGAGGCAAACCTGTTATAAATGTCACGAACTCAAGTTAAGAATATATTTCCTAATTAATTATAGGTAGATGCAAATTTTGTTGGTATCTAATTTCTACTTTGTTCTACTTTCCTTCATGGCCGCTTAGGGTTTTCTCCTTCGTTCCAGAGAATGTCTTCCACACTCGAACAATCCCATCATCTCCGCCCGTAACAACATAAGCCCCGTCGAAACCAGTCGCTAAACACGTGACTACCCCTTCATTGTGAAACCGCTGTACAGCTTCCCCCGAATCGATGTCCCATACTCCTATGCTCGCGATGGCAGAGCCAATGACGTACTTATCATCTAAGGATAAAACAAGGCAACTTGGCCCTTTGTCTGCCATTTTTAGTGTGTGAAGGCAATCCAGATTACTGCTGTTCCACACATTGATGAGCGAATCCTCGCCTGAAGTGACAATAAATTTATCGTCCCTTGTAACGGCGATTTCGTTTACTCTTTGCTCGTGCCCGCGCAAATTGGTTTTTAGCGGTCCACCGGCTGAGATTAGGCAGGCGCATTGGGGAATAAAGAGAGGAGACCGCTGTGCATCACACCAGCAGTAACATTGCGTAATAAGATCGGCGATGCGTGGAAATTGCTCTCTGAAGGTGAGGAGTCTTCCTAGAAGCTGAGTCGCCAGGCAATCCACATCCTGCTTGATGTTGCTCCGTGCCAAGATGAGCGTGTCATGAACAAACCTTAACATGATAATAAAAACTAAGTTAGGATGGTTTTCATCTAACTGTTAAAACTTCAATCGGGTTCAAATCTTCGTTTAAGAAGTGTTGAAGTAAGCAAGTGATTCATACGCCGCACAACTCATTCCTCCTCTCCCCCTCAGGAATGTTTCTCCCCGTTTTTGTTATTAAGTAAC